TAGACAAAAATGCCCTGGGCCAGAGGAGGGTGAGGGAGGTTGTGTGAGAGAAGCTAACAAGCTTGTCCAACCCACCTTATTTTGTTGTTGCTGTTCAGTTTTGTTTTGTTTTAGGCTTTTAGCAGCCTGAAGCCATGGTTTTTACTTTCTGTCTCTAGTGATGAGCAGAAAAGAGGGACGAGGAAGGGGCTTTACTGGCCCAACGAGAAGCAGAACCCATAACTGTATTCTCTCCCCTGGACAACCCTGTCAGAGAGCAGGAGTCTGAAAAAGATCCCTGTCCTGTCCACCTCACCCAGTCCCCAGCCACAGTCCACCCCTGCAGGGAGGGCTGCTATACGCTTTATGGGTGGAGCCCCAGGGAGGCAGAAAGACTCCCAGGAAGAGGTGGATGTGTGGTGTTTTTAAGTGGGTGCAGCCCTTTGCGGTGTTTCAGAGAAGTAATGGACCACAGCAGTCTCTGGTCCTGATGAGGTCATGCAGACAGGAGCCACGGATGACCGTTGAGACTCTAGGTATGTGAAGACTAAGGGCCAGAAGTTTGATGACTTCTCATTGGATGCCGAGAGTCCCCACTCTCTCTCTCCCTTATCACTAGGCAAGCCCTCCAAAAATTAAAGAAAAAAAGTAAAAGCATCTGTGGGAAAGACAGTGTGCTGTGTGTGGGCACGTGTGTATGTGTGTGTTGGGCACAAAGGGAACCCACTGTCCCGAGCTGGCAATTGTGTCCTCTGGTGGAATAGAGCCTCACAGTAGGAATTAAGTAACCCTGTGATGTACACTTGGGTGTCGAAGCAAAGTTTTGCCAATGTCAAACCAGCAAAGGGGCCAAGATTTGAGCCTAAACTGACTCCAGATTCTAATCCTAGGGAGTCTAACACTATACTCCTTGGGATTTATAGATGGTGAAGCATGACTCACAGGAAGATGAAAACACTTGCCCACAATCCAGAGCTCATGGAGGGAAGTTGGTGTCTGAACTCAGTCTTGGCTCTTTCTTCACATTCCTCACTGCCTCCTTAGAGTTAGTATGTACTAATTTTAAAGCTGCACTTTTTCTTTTCCTTTTTCTTTTTTTGGAGACAGAGTTTTGCTCTGTCACCCAGGCTGGAGTACTGGCGCCATCGCAGCTCACTGCAACTTCTGCCTCCTGAGTTCAAGCAATTCTCATGCCTTAGCCTCCCAAGTAGCTGGGACTACAGGCATGCACCACCACACCCGGCTAATTTTTGTATTTTTAGTACAGACGGAGTTTCACCATGCTGGTCAGGCTTGTCTTGAATTCCTGACCTCAAGTGATTCACCTGCCTTGGTCTCCCAAAGTGCTGAGATTACAGGCATGAGTCACTACACCTGGTCAGCTGTACTTTTAAAATTCTAAAACACTGTATTGGTCAGTCTCTCTAATGGAATATGGATATTTACAGCACAAACATGAAATGTCTAGTCCAATGATTTCATTTTAGAGTAAGAGATATTCATGGAGAGGGCATAGAAGATGCAGTCCCCATAAGCCCCCAGAATTTATTCTCAGGAATAGACTAAGATGGCAAAAGATTCTTGTAGCTAAAGACAGTTAAGGATGGTGTTTGTGCTTATGTTGCTCTGGGTATCTTACAAATTTGTGGGGGGCCACCGGTCATCACAAACCCATTAATTCATTGCCTTCGATATCTCACAAATTTGTGTGGGGCTGCCAGTCACCAGACGGTCCCTCCTAGGATTGAATCTCCCCAGGATTAACCAGGCAACCAGGGTTGAGACCACTTACAGATGGAACAACTTAAGACAACCTGTCCTGAAGCCTGACAGGTTTGGAACAAAGAGTGTGCTGCTTAAAATATTACTTGTCTTGGGCTTTCTGATTAGTTTAGTCTGGCCACTGAATGTGACCAGAACATCATGCCTCTCAGATGGCAGAGACCAAAAGAGAGCACTCCCACTTGGTCACGACTCAGACTCTTAAGGATATAAAATGAGAGGGGAACCTCATCCGGTTTTATTTTGGAGACTCACAGCAAAATTTGTCTAAATAGACAAAAGTCTGGTCAAAACCACAAAACTGTCCAGTTTGCAAAGCCAGCTTGAACAACAGGCTTATAGAGATTTTAGGCGCATGTTCTACCCTCTGGTACTGTGAAAATAAATGATTCAAATTCTAAGCTGCTGAAACTCTAAATTATGTTTGAGCCTTAAAGGGATGTGATTATGGTACCTGAGTCACATGACAGACAGCTGTAACCTTTGTTTCTCTGATAATAGATTAAGCCTTCTTCCTTACCTGCCTTGTTTTGTAACAATTTTAGTTTACAACATTTTAGTTGTAGATGACAGAAGGGCACCAACGAAGACCCCTTCCCTCTACTCTGTTGATCTTCATGATAGATTAACCTCCCTCTTACCTTTTTCACACAAAGACTTCATGGCTATCACATTGTCTTAAGGTGGAAGGTTAAATTCACTCTTGGCTATCACGTTGTCTTAAGGTGGAAGGTGAAATTCACTTTTGGCTATCACATTGTCTTAAGGTAGAAGGTAAAATTCACTCTTTCATTTGGAAAGGAAATGAAAACCAGCTATAAAGAAAACAAGCCATACTGAAAAGAAACGAATTGTACCTAATTAATTTATTATAACTCTATAACTTGTATAGAAAATGTTGAAGTTAATCCTATTACATTTCTTTGTCTTCTTCCTATATAAGCAAAAACTCAACTTTTAACTTCAGAGCATTGATCCCATTTCTCTGGAGTCTGTGAGTCCCAGAATGGCCCTTCCCAGCTTTTCACTTGAATAAACTCTTTAAAACTGGATTCTGACCCTTTTAATTATATTATTTCAGGTTGATATATCTGGCTACCCAAGAAGGGACCCAAAATGAATCTTGCCTTGACCACTGCTGCTTTGTCAATCAACACCTGGTACCAGCAGGACTGTTTTTATCCAACTGACTTTTGCCAAAGTTTGCAGGAGCCCTTGGCAAGGCCCCTCCTGGGTTCCAAACATTATCTCTAATATATCCCACCTTATTACAAGGTCCCATTCCTCAGAGTAAACACTTGGTCCAAATGGTGGGTGTTATAAATACTCCTGTATCAGCACATAAGTCTCAACCTGTAACTTTTCAACTAGGTCCCTTACAAGGGACACATGTTTTACTTTTAGTTTCCTTAGTTTCCATCCAGTAAGAAAACTTCTTAGAACTATGTAATACCCATATTTATTTCTCTTAGAAAGGTGAAATGTATTTAGAATTAGATGCTATACATGATAAAACAGAATTAACAGACAGAAAATTTTTCAAAATCAGCTGGGCGCCTGTCATCCCAGCACTTTGAGAGGCGGAGGTGGGTGGATCACCTGAGGTCAGGAGTTTGAGACCAGCCTGGCCAACATGGTGAAACTCCATCTCCACTAAAAATACAAAAATTATCCAGGCATGGTGGTGTGCACCTGTAGTCCCAGCTACCTGGGAGGCTGAGGCAGGAGAACTGCTTGAATCTGGGAGGTAGGGGTTGCAGTGAGCAGAGATAATTCCACTGCACTCCAGCCTGGGCAACAGACTCAGACTCTGTCTCAGAAAAAAAAAAAAAGAAAAGAAAAAGAGAAAAGGATTTTTTTCAAAATCTAATCCAATTGCTATCCATCTTGCCATCAAAGACACTGACTTACTAAGTGATGAATTACAAAATGCAATAAGGCAATACCTGATCAATTGTGGTCAAAGTCCTGCATTGATACAGGAAAATATTGTTTTAACTACTTCAATAAAAATTTAAGTAGACTCACTGGAAATGGCTTCCAAATAGCAGACAATATCCCTTGAGAACTGAAGCCCTAGAAGAAAAAGAAAAAAAAAAGTATAATCTTAGATTATATAGAAAGAGTACTGGTCATTCTCTGTACAAGTCCTTGTAATGCACCGATTCTCCTGGTAAGAAAACCTAATGGTAGAGGGTGGAGGTTTATGCAGGATTTGAGAGCAATAAACAGCACAGTAATTCCACGGCATCCAGTTGTGCCTAATCCTCGCACACTGCTCACAGCCATCCCATCTAATGCAGAAATTTTCGGTCATTTTTTTTTTTTTTTTTTTTTTTTTGAGACAAGAGTCTTGCTCTGTCACCAGGCTGGAATGCAGTAGCATGATCTCAGCTCACTGCAACCTCTGCCTCCCAGGTTCAAGCATTCTCCTGCCTCAGCCTCCCAAGTAGGTGGGATTACAGGCGTGCCCCACCGTGCCCAGCTAATTTTTTGTATTTTTAGTAGAGAAGGGATTTCACCATGTTGGCCAGGATGGTCTCGATCCCTTGACATCATGATCCACCTGCCTCGGCCTCCCAAAGTGCTGGGATTACAGGTGTGAGCCACTGTGCCTGGTCAGTCATAGATTTATGTAGTTGCATTCTTCAGTATTCCTTTAGATCAAGATAGCTAATTGCTCTTTAACTTCATATGGAAAGATAGACAATATACCTGGACAGTCAGGCCCTAAGGATACACTAAAAAGCCTGACTGACTTTTTACAAATATTAAAAACAGACCACTCAGACATTGACTTCATTGAGAAGTCTATCTTAATACAATATGTAGATTATTTACTTCCTTGATTAAAGAACAATGGGCTTTCATGTACAACAATTGGCCCTAAAGAGTGATACGGTTTATAAAGGAAAAACTTCAATTTTGTCAAAATCAAGTAAAACACTTAGACCATCTGATAAGGTTTGGCCCAGTGTCCCCACCCAAATCTCATGTTGAATTGTAATCCCCATTGTTGGGGGAGGGACCTGATGGGAGGAGATTGAATCATGGGGATGGACTTCCCCCTTGCTGTTCTTGTGATAGTGAGTGAGATCTCATAGATTTGAATGTTTAAAAGTGTTCAGCACTTGCCCCTTCACACACTCTCTCTCTCTCTCTCTCTCTCTTCTGCTCCACCGTGGTAAGATGTGCTTGCTTCCCCTTCACCCTCCACCACGATTGTAAGCTTCCGAGGCCTCCCAGCCATGCTTCCTGTACAGCCTGTGGAACTGTGAGTCAATTAAACCTCTTTGCTTCATAAATTACCCAGTCTCAGATAGTTCTTTATAGCAATGTGAGAACAGTCTAATATACCATGTAACAGTCAAGGAAGGACTTTCTATTAATCCAGCTAGGTTGAAAGGAATTCTAGCTTTTCCACCACCGAGAAGCAAGAAGCAATTGAGAGGGTTTTGGGGGCTGACAGGATATTGTAAAAACTGGATCCCCAACTTTTCTTCAAACACCCAGCCTTTATATACTCTCTTATAACTGGACATTACAGACCTTCTAGACAGGACAGAAAAAAATCAAATAACATTAGAAATGATCAAAAATGACTTTGCTAAATCCTCAGCTTTGGTATATCCAAATTATTATATAACCTTCCATTTTCAGTACTCAAACACTAAAGTGATGGAAATGCTTTAGGGATTCTAACTCAAAAACATGGAGACCGAAATAGACTTGGGGGTATTATAGCCAGTAAAGACCCTGTAGCAGGAGGATGGCCACCTTGTATGCAAGCCATTAACAGCTAATGCTTTGTTAATTAAGACAACTGAAGACATTGCAATGGGAACACCCCTTACCATCTTCATCTCTCATTCTATGGAGGCACTGCTGAACTCACACCATATTCAGTATTACTCAGTTCTCAGACTGGCTTCACATGAGGTCTTAGTTCTTTCAGCTCCTTATATCACCATATCTATGTGTTAACAATGTAAACCCTGCAACTCTTTTGCCTTTGTTTTAAGATGAGCTACTGCACAACAGCATAGCCCTAATTGATCAATGTCTTTCTCCTAGGTCATATCTATGAGAAATCCACTTTGCAAATACTGATGTTGTTGTTTGGCTTATAAATGGACCTTACTTAATGGATGAATCTGGATACTATAGGGCTGGATACACTATAGTGCCTTTAACTGAAGAAACAGGAAGTGCCTATCTTCCAAAAGCCACTTCACCTCAACAAGTAGAATTAATAATATTAATTAGGTCCTGTCAATTGCCAGAAAAATATATTCACTAGTATTTACACAGACAGTAGATATGTTTTTGGAGTAGCCCATGATTTTGAAATGTTATGGAAACAAAGAGGATTCTCAATTTCGTCAGGTCAATCCATTAAAAAAAAGACATCTTATTTCACAACTACTAGAAGTCATATTATTGCCCAAATCATTGGCCGTTATTAAAATTCCAGGTCATTCAAAAAAAGATACTCCAGAATGCAGAAGAAATTAGTGAGTGATGTGATAAGGTCACAAAGAGCACTACTCTAAACACTTCTAAACAGGAAAATCTACCTGTATTAACCTTTAAGGAAGCACTTGAAATTGATATAAAATTAACTCAATCCAGAGTCCCAAAATGCGCGCAAAAAGTTTGGGACACAAAAGGGGGAGAATAGTCACCAAAAGATGAAGAATGATGACTCGCCCATACTTCTTGCTGAATTACAGCCATCATATTTTTAAAGACAGGGTTTCAGTCTGTCACCCAGGATGGAATGCAGTGGCATGAACATGGCTCACTGTAGCCTTGACTTCCTGGGATCAAGCCATCCTCCCACCTCAGCCTCCTGAGTAGGTGGAACACGCCACCATGATGATTGGCTAATTTTTAAATTTTTTGTAGATATGGGGTCTCACCATGTTGCCCAGCCTGGTCTCAAACTCCTGGCCTCAAGCAATCCTCCTGCCTCAGCCTCCCGAAGTGTTGGGATTACAGGTGCGAGCCACTGCACCTGGCCTACAGTTATCATTTTTAACATATGTGCGTGATGTAACTTACTGGAGTCCTGCCAAAATGGTTGCCTTGGAAAAATAATATTACTGAAAACCATTTCTAACAGTAGCCCATAAGGTACACAAGTGGTCATATTTGCCCAAAATATAATCCAGGAAAAGCACTACTTACTTCCCAAAGATACTTTCCTTTATCTGAGACTCCCTTTGAAATACAGCAACTAGATTCTTTTCTAATTGCCACTTTCATAAGGCTACAGATATGTCCCGGTAATTATTTGCCTGTTTTCTTATTGGGTAGAGGCATTTCTATGAAGAAGAGCAATTGCCTTAGCAGTAAGTAAAATTATTGTAGAAAAAATTATTCCAACCTGGGCATTTCATTGGAACTTCATAGCAACAGAGGTACCCACTTCACTGGAGAGATAATTCAATCAGCATGTAGTATCTGGCCTATTTTTCAGTATTTCTATTGTGTTTATTACTCCCCATCATCTGGGTTAGTAGAATGCACAAACAGAGTAATAAAAACCCAACTGGCAAAATTAACTGAGGCTTTTAAAATTCCTTGGCCAAAATCCCTTCCATTGGTTTTGCTTAACAAAAGATTTACTCCTTTTGGTAAATACCAGTTATCTCCATTTAAAATAACAGGCAAACCTATGAAAATGTCTCCTAGAAATTGTGCCTCCTTGTGACTTAGTAAAATAATCTTTTCACAGAAAACTTCTTGGAAACATAAATCTAAAGAACCACAGAATTGAACCTGGAGATTCTGTCTATTGGAAACATTTCTTAAAAGACTCTCTCCAACCAGGATACAATGGGCCTTACCAGGTACTTCTCACTAATCCTTGTACTGCTAAATTAGAAGGCATAGACTCCTGGATTCACATCTCACATCTAAGGAAAGCCAAGCCTCCTGAATAGACTGTTTCACCAGAGAGTAATCTTCTACTTAAGATAAGGTGATGCCCAGTTGAGAAGAAGATGGCAGCAGACATGGTTGGGTGTCTCAAGACCTGGACCAGGTCTGTATCTAAATTAATGCTTAATATTAACAACCATTAATAGATGGAGAATATTTTATTTTACAAGCTTCTATAAACTTCTTTTTTTTCTCTCCTTGGTTCTCATGCCTTGGTACTACTATACCACTTGTTGCCCATAAAGCAACCTCTTTTTGCAATGGACCCAACACTATGCTAATAGGTTACAAAAGGATGCTCATTGGGTATGTGGTCTCATGTCCCTTTCCAGTAGTTCTGGATTTCCCATGGTGGAAATCTCTTCTTCAAGGGCAAGATTGGATAGAATATCAGAAATATTATATATCCATGTTTCCCCAGAACAGTTATTGGTACTTAACACTGTTATGACTAAACATAATAACCATCACTGGTCTATTACTGATACCTTACAAAATAAAGGGTAAGGGAAGAACTTTTCCATAAAAGAAACTAATTCACTAGCTTTAATGCTGTGCTACCCCAATTGAGACATGAAACAGACACTGCCTCAACTGAGAAATAAGACTGTAACCCAACGTAGGTTCAGCTGCTCACCACTTCCCAAACTGAATAACAAGGACAAGGTTCAGTAGAAGGAAAGTGACTTCATTTTCCAAAGCTAACAGTGGGGAAGTGGTTCAGGCTCCTGTCTTAATGAAACTGCTTCAAAATTCTTGGGCAAAATGCTAGGGTTTAAGAAGGGGAAGTTTGGTATGGAGGATATGTAGTGGATGGGGGTGGGGTGGGGGGCGTGCAAGGCGGTGCTGGTCTACGTGACTTGTTTTGATGACTTATCTTGAGTTATTGTCCCATCTTGAGAATAATGGGTTGGCACCATCTCAGGCTTGACCAGGTTGTACATCAGCTGCTGCCTTGAAGTAATCTCCTGGTGGGGGATAATTCCATAGGCACCTGGATTGTCTCAAGATTCAACCCCTGGAATTTCTGAGCAAACATAATTAGATAAGCTAGCAATGCAAGGAAGTACCTGGTAGAAAGAAGGAGAGTAAAGCTTATTATTTCATTACTAATAATTTGTACAAAGGACTGCAGAAGGAAAAAGGAAAAAAAATAAATAAAGTCCTTGGTTACAACACCTCACTGTCAAATGCCATTCTATTTCTATGGAACACAAGTGACATATTCATTCTAGTGACTTCCTACTGCAAAGGGGTATAGTTAAAAGGTATTGGAATGGAACTGATCTACTTGGAGGTGAAAGTGTTCTCAAGTACCTGGGCTCACGGATGAAACCTGTTGCAGCATTATGGTGAAGACCCTTGAAAGTCCCTGGGAAAGTCTATCTTGTATACCATGCAAAAGGTATAGCATCAGTAAAACCCACAGCAAAGAAGTATCCCTATTTCCCACAATTATAGTGAAAATTACCAGTAACTGTTCCCATCAGGATGGTCCTGACCCAAACTAGGATGTAAACCATCTAATGACAATGTAGGGTCTGGGTCTAACATGACTTGATGTAAACCATCTAATGACAATGTAGGGTCTGGGTCTAATATGGCTTGAATTTTATGCATGTCTTATGTATATATGTATATATATGCATGTGTGTGTACATATATATGTATATTTAACAGATTACAGGAGGAGCTATGAATATTGTTGAAGATGGTGATAAACTCTGTCTAGTTCTTAAGAATAGATCAGTTTAGTTAAACAGCTGTTTCCCGTTCCAGGAGGTACCATTGCAGATGGGCTAGGTCTCAATATGTGATAAAGGTGAATAGGAGGCATTTTTATGGAAACAGAAGAAAAACAAAGGTTGATGCTGGGCACAATCTATCTTCAGTTTCAAAAGAAGGCAGTGGCAATCTGACACATTTTTCTCACTTGTGTCTCAAGGAATAAGCTTTAGCTAGTAGGGCCTCAGTAAAAAGGTAGCAGCAATTTTATTGAGTCCAAGTCAAAAAAAGGGAAAAATAAATTTAAAAGCATTAGTTTGGGGAATTGTTGCCTGGAAAAAATCAAGATACAATCCAAATTGCAGAGAAAAATAAAAAATCAAAAACAGTGGACAAGACTAGACTCTAACAATAGGTGTACTATAGTTTTTTTTTTTTTTTGAAACACAAATTTTCTTTTTTCAGTCCCCATTTTTACTACAGACAAATCATAGAACAAATTTATTTGTAAAACAAGTTTTAGTATTATTATATTTGGCCTGATTAGCCTCATTATTTGTATAAAGTGCAGCAAGAATAATTATTTGCCATATAGGCCCTTTTAAAAAAATTGACTTTGCTGGAATGCTATTTTTTAAAAAAATTGACTTTGCTGGATTAGACTTTTTAAAGCCTCGAGTTCAGCCATGGATTTATCTGCCTGCAAATATCTGTATGAATTGGGTAAATTCTTCTCCTTTCAAGATCCCATAAAAACTTGGAGCTCCTAGGCCTATCAGAAAGTGACATTTTTTACTTACCACAGGTCAGGAAAGCTATATAGGGACTATATAGACAAGACGTGAGGCCAGTTTTACTTAGGGTTCTTTTATCAGCTCTATAAGTCAACTTTGATTCTTTAAAGCAGCCTGTTTATAACTGAAACCATGCCATTCCTGTCAATGCCTTGGTAAAATGACCAGTGCCTCCAATGGTGTCCTGTTTAAAAAAAAAAAAAAAAAGACAGATTTTTATTAAACTTATACAAATAATTATACTGCCACAAATTAAGTATACTTACAAATAGTTTTCAAATTCTGGAGAAATCAGGTAAAGGACAGAAATGTTTCAAATTTTTTTCACAAGAATATACTCTGGAAATCACTCAAAAGAAAAAGATTTTCTGGACTCTGAAAAACAAAAGAATTACCAATACTTTAAATAAAAGTCATAAAAAGATTATTTAGGCCTTCCATTAGTTCAGTCTGTGTAACTAACTCTTGTTCTGCTTGATATTCATGAACACATTAGCTCTTCATGGGAGTCTTGGAAGTTTTTTACTTTATTCTAATGTCATAATCTCAAAAGTTATCAGAAACCTGCATTCAAGAGCACCTACCTATGGGATCAGAGTCCTATAGCTGATTATAAATCCACATTTTGAAAAGAATCAAAATAAAACAACAATTATGGATGAAACAATTTCAGAGCAGCCATGGTTGAAGACACAATTGACAAGGAAATTTCATCATCTCTGTGGCACATAATAATTTAACATAGCAATCATTATTACTGACAGCATATACTGAGACATATCAGAATTATAGGAACCTTATACAGTTTTGAGACAGATATTAGTAATACATTTATATGAATGTATAATGAATCCAATAAAGTTAAACATTATTTTATATTTCACAATGCTTCCTGCATGATTTTAATTTCCAAATAAGCCAAATATGTCTCTTTTAGACTTTAGGAGATATAATATCTAAAAAGGTTAATGAGATCTAAAAAGGCTTAATTTAGAACTTGGAATTTCAATTTTGGAAGGTTTGTCATATATCAATGGCTTAAAACATCTGATAACACAAAATGGAATCACAGGTTATTCATTTAGCTGAAATGACAACTCAAAATATCAAAAGACAAAAACCTTTACTCACTGATAGAGGGGATACTCAGTTTTCTAAACAACAAACTTACATAGTTTGTATATTTGTCCCCACCCAAATCTCATGTTGAATTGTAATTCCCAGCATTGGAGGTGGGGCCTGGTGGGGGGTGATTAGATTATGGAGGTGGATTTCTCATGAACAGTTTAGCACCATCCCCTTGATGCTTTTCTCACAACAGTGAGTGAGTTCTCACGAGATCTGGCTGTTGAAAAGTGTGTGGCACCCACACTCTCTCTTGCTCTTGATCTGTGAGATGCCTCCTCCCCCTTTGCCTTCTGCCATGATTGTCAGCTTTCTGAGGCCTCCCTAGAAGCCCAGCAGATGCCAGCACCATACTTTTTATAAAGCTTGCAGAACCACGAGCCAATTAAACCTCTTTTCTTTATAAATTATCCAGTCTCAGGTATGTCTTTATAGCAAGAAAAGCCTAATATAAAGACCAAATAAAGAAATCACCAGGCCAACTAAATCTCTCTCTTCTCTCTTTCTGTCTTCTTTTCTCTTTTTTCTTTTTTTTTTTTCTGTAGCTTACTCAAAAGACAAAGAAAACCCTTTCATTATCTCTCAATGTTACATGAAAATTTTATTTAAAAAAGAAAAACAAATTTCATCTTTGTATTGTTGCATTACTAACATTGAGGTTATATTTTTTCTTTTCTTTTTGTTTCTGAGACATAGTCTCACTCTGTCACCCAGGCTGGAGTGCAGTGGCATGATCTCAGCTCACTGCAACATTCACCTCCCAGGTTCAAGTGATTCTCATGCCTCAGCCTCCCCAGTAGCTGGGATCACAAGTGCATACCAGCACACCTGGTTAATTTTTGTATTTTTAGTAGAGACAGGGTTTCACCATGTTTGCCAGGCTGGTCTTGAACTCCTGGCCTCATGGGATCCACCCTCCTTGGCCTCCCAAAGTGCCGGGATTATAGGCTTGAGCCACCATCCCTGGCCTAAACTTAATTTTTTATAAAATCTTGAAAGCCGGTCTATTAATTTGACTATAAGGTAAGATTTTTATAAACCCTTTATTACTCTTTGTAATTTTTTGTTAAAGAGCAGATCAATGCTCTAAGAAACCTCTGTAATTTTGACACATGGGCACAGATTCTAGCCCTGCACTAGTGTCCTTTTATTTTAATGCTCAATTTATGGATATACAAAATAATATCCTTTAATTTTAGCCAACTTGTTCACACACAGAATTTATTTTAGAAGATTAATCAGGCTGGGCACTGTGGCTCACACCTGTGTTCTTAACACTTTGGGAGGCTAAGTTGTGTGGATCATTTGAGGTCAGCAGTACAAGACCAGCCTGGCCAACATGGTGAAACCCCATCTCTACTAAAAATACAAAAATTAGCCGGGTGTGATGGCGTGTGCCTGTGATCCCAGCTACCAGGGAGGCTAAGGCAGGAAAATCACTTGAACCTGGTAGGTGGAG